AATTTTAGATCATTTAAAAATTACAGCATTAAGAAGTTTATGTTATTAGATAAGCTAGTGTAACAAAATTACTTAAATAATTGGTACATAATATAACAAAACTCCTTAATTTAATAATGAATAAATCGATTTTATGTAAATATCAGTTAACCAATTAAATATAAAATTTAAAAAAATAGTTAGGTTATTTAATTTATTTGAATAAATTTACATTTGATTACATTGATACATTTGATTTACATTTATTTGAATAAATTTTAACAAAATTTGAACTCAGTATTGAATGTTTACGATAAATAAGTTATAGAAAAAATATAAGCAACATTTTAAAAATATTGAAATTACGATTGAGATATCTAAGCATATCCTTTATTTATAGCTTAACAAAATATTTTGAAAAACGTGTGTAAATTTCAAAATGTGGCAAACATGTATTTTATTTGTTTATATAATTACTCTTCACTGCAGATAAAAAATGGTAATTAACTATAGCACAAGTTGATTTTGTTGAATAAGCCTTATATATCATTATTACTGATATTCAGTCACGTGGAATAACATTTTATTTGGTCTTTAAAATGTTATATAATAATTTAATCATGATTACTAACGTAAATCTAAATCACTGTATGTATTAGTCAAACTCACTCATGGTTATTACGATGGAAAAAAAACTAATTGTAGTTCATTAGGTAAGCCTTAATTATCTTAAAGCATTACCAGTTAATTATCTTTAATATCTAAATAAACTAATTGCTTGGGACAAGTATCAAAGTAAATAGCATGAATTCTATTATTCTCAGTTTCCAGAATACAGTTCTAAAAATAGATGTGTTTCGGTATAAGCTAGAGATAAACCATCAAAATATGTTTTTTTAGATGAGTGTAACAGAAATACTAAATGAATGAAACTTTTTAATATGTATTTATTCTCATAAGTTAGTCAACATGAATTTATTTCCATTAGATATATTTGAAAGGAAAAGAATACATAAAGTTGAATACAAGGTTGCTAAAAGTAAAAATTAAGTAAAATTACAGATCGCATTTATTTCAAACAATATTTCATTTTGATCACAAGAAAATGACAAATACAAGAAAATTTTATTCATTCAAGTTTTATTTTCAAATATTGGATAAAACATTCATGTACCATAACATATCTGCGTTGTATGATTATATATGTATCAAGACCATACAATCAGTTAAATTAACTCTGATAAATTGACAGTCGATTATATGTTTATACAGAGACTTACGCACACTCTATCAGCAAATACTTCATTTCCAGATGATTCAGTCCTCCTTACAACTCATGCACCCTTATCACAAGTAGCTTTATCGAAATATCCATGATGTTCATGATAGTCAAGCACAGTATAGAGTAACAAACATAAATATATAAATAGGCGAAGAAGCGAATACATTTATAATCTCAACTGCATTTTTTTAGGCACGCACATGCTACAGTCTACAATTTTGTTTTTAGTTTTATAGAAGATTGTGTGTTGAAATTAAGTTGGTCAATTATGTTGCATTTCGTTTAACACCGGCCAGGTGGCCGAGGTGGCGTGTCTGATTGTGAAGCAAATGGCTGCGGGTTCGAATCCCGCACTGGGCATGGATGTCTCTCTCTCTCTCTCTCTCTCTGTTGTCCTCTGATGTGTGAATGTATGAATGTGGCCCACCCTATGAACGGGTATTTTTGGCAGTGTGGCATGGGTAATGCTGCTCGCCTCCGTGACTTTGGTTCACAGGTGCCCACTGGGTAACGATAAATGAGCAACACTTCAGGCATCGTCTAAGGCGAAGAACGAAAGTTCAGTGCCTGTCGTTATTAAAAAAAAACATTTCGTTTAACCACGCAAACACTATTGATTTTAGAAACTTACGAAAGTATGTAGAAACAGGCTTAAAGAGTACGATAAAGTAAAAAATAAAATTTTAATAATTTGTTCGAGAATTATAAACTGTTAATTTTGTAGTGAAAAGTGCCATGTAGGTCGCTCAACAAATGTTAAAATGCTACAAATGAGTTTAAAAAAATTGTCTGCGAATTTAATTTCTGTCGAATATTTTAATTCCATTTGAAACTCTGAGATTTAAGAGTTGAAATAAGAAGAAAAATGAATTAACTATAAAAGAATATTATCATACTTCTTTTTTGTTGTTACACATTGCGCATTTTAAATACAATAAGAATTAACTTAAAGTCATTTGCTTCAATGAAGCATACATTAACTTGCAACAGCAAAAACGATAGTTTTTAACCTTTCGGTGCATAATTTCTATGAAAGACATTTTTCATACTTTTTTCGCCTTAATTTTGGCCAAAATAATTAAAACATATTATGTTTTGCATTTAATAATTTATGGTTAGACAATAAAGCATGAAAGTGTTTTTTTCAGCAGTATAGGTAATATCTTCCAAACACTGCTCACTTCCAAACAATAATTTTTCCATATCTGCTTTCATTTGCAGTTATACCAATCTAAAAGGATCAGTTATTCATCATTGAAACTTCTTTTATTTGCAAAATCAATTATTGATAATTTTTCGTAGACTAATAACAAAAATAAAACTCCTTTTTTTCAGATTTTGTATGACTAATTTCGACAGATTTTTAAATAACTATTAGACTTTTCTTATAGCTAAAAAACAGCGAAATATGTTTTTGCCTGTATTTATAACGTCAGAAAAAATTATGTTAAGTAACATCGGTGTCTCATCTGCATCAGGGAGATTAAAGTTTGTTTATTGGATGGATAAAAAAGACTGAACTTTATAATTAATAATTAGTTTTAGAATTATTAACCATTAATTTTGTCTCCCAGGAGTGATTAAACATTTACATTATCATAAGGTGACTTAGTTAACATTCCCAGAGATGGGTGATTAATTCTTTAGTGGTAACGTAAACAGTGTTACGTTAGATCATCGGTGATAAGTTCCCTAGCTGTTAAACTGTTTCTGCCAGGCCTTTCTTTCTTATAACTGATAAAGACGTAAATAGTATTGTAAGTAGTATTTTTGAAAAACAAATTAATATTGTTTTAACTAAATTTAAACAATAACTCTCTAGTCTTCATTAAAACCAAACACTATTGCTATTTATTTAAATCGAAACCAAACATAAAGCACATACTTTAAAAAATATACATTTGTACGACAAAATTATTGCTTGATCTTTAATTCGAGAAGCGTAGATTTAAAAAAGCAAATCCATTTCAAATAGCGTAACGGCAGTAACGTTGGCAAGAAAAAAACCTTCAGTTGAATTGAAATTGATGTGAAGAAAATCTACCGGTAAGAGATTGCAGATAATGTTCTCTGATGGAAATGATTTTATTTCTGCTATTTTGCTTCTCACGTTGCATAGTAGTGGAAGAAGTAACTATTAGCCAAGTTTGCTTGCGAAACAGAAATTTAAGATTTGAACTTAACGTTTTTAGAAAAATTAATGACGACTGTATTTGAAATAAGAAAATTCATTTCTAGAGCTTCTTTATCGATAAAAAAATGGGAAGAATAACACAAGGAAAATTATTATATTTATTTTAATTGGTTAATCATAGGATAGAACTTAAAAGTAATTCAGGTACTTGGAATTAAGAATAAAAATACTTCTGAATCGTAGCAAGTTAGAATTTAAAAAAAACTGCTCTTATTGTATTGTCTTCTTTATTTCTATCAATTCCGGCCCTTTTAAGGAAAGTAAAATATTTTCGAGAGGGACTTGTTTTTACAGATAGAAAAAGCGTTACTTTAACAAGTAAGTATGTATTTTTGCATTAATTCTACTTATTCTAATAATTCATATCTTAAAAGTTTTGTATGCTGGTATCTACTCATTTCATAATTTAATTGTAGTATTTAAATTTAGTTTTATTTGAGATCGTATTTTGTGTAACACTCAATTTAAAAATATATATTTTTTTAATTTTCAGAAATGTTTAAAATATTTCATCTTTATTATAACATATATATTAAGAAAAAAAGGGAAACTTTTTAATTTAAGCTTAGTTACATAAATTTAGGCTAATATCTTTCAAATTTTCTTAACACTTCGCAAAATATGTTATTGCAAAAAAGTATCTGTAAACATTAAATTCTAAAATATTGATAAAAAAACTAATGAATCTTGTATAATAATATTTTACCTTTTTCGAATAAAAGTTTTTAAAAATAATTAAGGCAGCATAAAATTTATTAAGGCAGTATTAAAAATATATAGGATAATTTTTTCAAAGCGTTATGTATTTGACAAAATCGCAGCTGTAAGATTTAGAAGCAAAGCAGCAACTTCTGTTAAAAAGGCCGACAGTTGTGCTATTTACATTGTACTTCACCGAAACTGTCGAAAAGTGGGTGCAAACCACTCCTGAACTAACTTTCCCCTATTAACAAATTTCTCTTCATGTGAGACTTACAGACTGCAACAATTGTGAACAGTGTTAAAAATAATTTAATCTGATGCATCAATATTTAATTAAACGAAATTTTTGACAGCGGAAAGCCTCAATCTATACGTCAATCACTCATAAGGGAACGAAACTATTTCAGTAAATTTAACTGAGATTGTATATCGCAATGATTAATTTTTTTTTATACCAAGAAATGAAAAGCATCTAAGTAATGAGTTTTCTGGTTAGTCAGGTAGTAATTATCGGTTCGTTGTGTGATTTTATTGATGGATCCGTCTCAGTCATGTTGAAAGTTTCAACCATACCAATTTACATATTTCTAAAACCTAAAAAAGTGAAATTCGCTTGCATTTGATCCCAAAAAAAGTGCAGACTTGAAAAGCAGCTCACATAAAAAATCTAAATGAAGATCAATGGAGGAGATCGATGCTTATTTTTCAAAAAGAAGATACTTTTGATTACATATGTTGCCCTTTGTTCTCTCTATTTTTTAAGACAAAATATTTATTGCAGAGGAATTCTTTAGTATTAAAATAAACTTAATTTCATATATTTATATATTATTTAAATTTTAGTGAGCTTATTCAACAAGAGTGGAAAGTGAAGAGGCGTCCATATTAATAGCACTTTTGTTCTTCAGCTTTGAAATATACAGGAAAATCAGAAACTGTGTAGTATATGAAAAAAAAATGCTTCCATCAGAGAAAACTATAGATCACCGAGAAAAAAGTACTGGTGGGTAAGATTTTATCGATTTATTTATTTTTTTTTTTTGCAAATGCCCAGACTGTTTTCTATGATGATCTTAGTCATCTGGTCCTCCAATTTCTCTGAACTTTACAGCTTACGACATCAAAAACTTCATCTTGTCTGCAGAAGGAGTAGAAGAGGAACCCCGAATATTGAGCCAGTTGAAACGGACAGACTGTCATGACATATAGGAACATTACTTCAGCAGCAGATCTTTAAGGCCAGGAATATCCTGGGAATCATTGCCAGAGGAGATCATGACTTGCCAGAAGGATCAGATAGCACCCTGTTCACTTTTTAATTGGAGTAGGTGAGATTCTGTAAATGTTAATTGATAAAAGAATATTATGATTTAAAGTTCTGCTAACATAACACAAACGTCATTATTTTACAATTTAAAATAAAAAAGGTGCACATAGAATTACTCTTGTATAATCTATTGCATATTCTATTGTGTCAAAAGACCGTTGCCAGATTTAACGCGCTGGTCTGTCATATCATGATGAATAAGATTTACACTGGAACTTGAGTTCTAAAATGCAAACTGTGATCATTAGCGAGCAATGTTCGCCTTCTGATAGGAGAGAGGAAATGCGTTTTAGGACCCAAATATGGTAATAAATTAGTGCAGAGACAATTTTAAGTTACGGAATCCGGAAATTAAAAACATCGCACTTTCTTTCAATGAACACAACTTTTTCGACGAATTCAAATTCCCGTTCTTTATAATATAGGGTCTAACCACAACCTGGGTAGTATGGTCCCAATAGTTTCGTCAGGAGAGTGATCCAAAGAATAGACCCCTTAACGTTAATTTTACTTTAAGCATATTTTGCTACATCTTGAAAGCTTTTTAAGCGAATTGGAAAAAAAATTGTTCACAATTATAAAATCCATTAATCTAAAGATAAACTCCATGTAAAAAATAACTTTTAGTAAATATTTATTATTTTGTTTACTTTTAATAAACAGTTTCCTGCAACTGTTTAGCGTATGCAATTTTACATGCCAAAATGCAAAAATTTGGGGGAAATTGGACGAATAATTCTTGAGAAATTTAGTTATAAAAATGCTAGTTTTCTTAAAATTCGATTTCTCAGGAACTAATCGACCGATTTCGTTCAAATTTTGCATTTTCACTTCAATAAAATCACTTCAAAAAATTTTTTTCTCATGGATTTCAATATTTTTTTTCATTAATATCTTTGGAAAATGAATGTTATAATTGTAGGCAAAATTTTTTCAATTCACTTTAAAATTACTCGAGATGTGTCGAAATATACAAAGAGTAAAATTTACTCTCAGTTTAGGTCTCTCTCCTGACCAAACTATTTAGGCCATATTTCGCAGATTGCGATACCCACTATATTTTAATGCTCAGAAATCCGAATCCATCTGAAAAAAAAAACAAGATTATTCAGAGATAGTAAGTTTTTGTATCTGGTTTCGTATCCTAAAATATCAGGTGGACTATTTTTTTTTTTAATTTTGAGCACTGTACAGTGTGCCAAACAAAGGTGGCATCCTAAATAACTCTTGTTCTAATGATCAGGCCTTCATGTTCTTTTTGGTATTGTGGGTGACCTCAATATGATAATTAATTAGAGCAAACGATATTTTAAGTTACGCAATCAGACACAAAAACGTACTTAGTCTAAATAAACGTGAGTTTTTTCCGACGGACTCGGATGTCCGACCTCCAAAATTTAGGGGGTAGCCGCAATCTGGGAAATATGGTCCCTATAGTTTGGTCCGGAGAGAGGTTGAAAGTTTGGACCCCTTAATGTTAATTTTACTTTTTACGTATTTCACCATATCACAATTTTTTTTAAAAAAAATTTTAAAAAAATTTTAAAAATTAGACACACTTTTAAAATTCGTTTATTCAAAAATATTTCTATGCAGATTTTAAATTTTAGTACATCTTTTATTATTTTCTTTAATAATAGTAGAAAAATTTAGAAGTGCAAGGTATATAATTTTTAACATCATTTTGAGGTATGTAATTTTACATGCTAAAATATAAAATTTGAGCGAAATTAGTTGAATAGCTCCTGAGAAATCAAATTTTAAATATGCAACTTCTTTAAAATTATATTTCTCAAGAACTACTCATCCAATTATGTTCGAAGTTTCCATTTTGCTATGTTAAATTACTTCCTTAAAATAATGTAAAAAACTACATGCCTTACAATTCAAATTTTTTTCGACTATTATTATAAATAAAATAATAAAAAATAATAAATATATACAAAAAATTTGCTTTTTGCATAGAATTATCTATGGATAAACGAATTCAATTTCCCGAAATGTGGCGAAATACGCAAAAGGTATATTTAATATTAAGGGGTCAAAACTTTGGAACCTTCTCCTGAGCAAACCAAGGGGAACATATTTCCTAGATTGCGGATACCTCCTTTATTTTGTTGGTCAGAAACCCAAATCAGTCTTGAAAAGGTATACTTATTCAGAGAAAGTGCAGTATTGTGTTTCATTTCTTAACTTGTACTAATTAACATATTTGAGGCTACCCCCTAGAATCATTGAGATTGAGTTATAAAATGTAAAAATCTGATCATTAGATAAAAAGTTATTTAGGATGCTCAGATTTTTATTTTTCGCGCTGTACATCAATCCAGCATTATACACATACTGAATACATGCTGTACCCCTACGAAATTCAATGAGTACAAGCACTATGTGATGACGATAATGCCAAACGCGTTGAATTTGAACACTGGTATTTGTAAAAATGGGTCATCTAGCCGCCTATTTTTGCATCTAGCTGCCTTAGCCATGTAGTATCTTTTACATAGGACGATGCCCTGAACGTGCACAGCATGCACGTGTGGGTACAAAACAACTGAGGTTGCATTCAAGCCATGCAAATTGACATCAGTTCAACGTAAAAGTTTGGGATGGCATTTTAATAGATAACTGATTTTGTAAATTTAATGCCTGGATTCAATACATGATGAAAGGCTTAAAAAGTAAAAATAATGTTTAGGAGCTCCAAACTTGGGATATCGGGTCAGTTCATTAAGCAGACGTCTTAAGTAAGTTCGTCTAAAGAGGAGATTTATGTGGCTATTTTCAAACTTTCTTCATTGTCTGCACTAATTAAAAATATTTTCCCCCAAGCAATTACTTGCAAAGCAAGCTGATTTTTTTTTTGGGTGTAGGTAAACATATACAAAACTTTTATTTTGCTGTTCTTATGGAGATTTTAGTTTAGGTGAAAAAGCGAAAAAACAAGACAATCTGTCGACTCACTTTCTGAATACTTAAAATACTGCTAAATTTAAAATTATTTCCTTTTAAAATTTATTCAGTTAATCTATTGTATGTTTTTAAATAAAAGTACTTGTAATATGTAAAATTAAACTAGAGATTTTGATTTCATAACTCAATTTAATTTTAGTATCTGAAATTTAAATTGAATAATTTAAAATTTAAGACCATTTAGAATTTCAAACTAATGAAAAGAATCTAAATTCGAAGTCTAAACAATTCACCGCATGCAGTCTAACCAATTCAATGCATGTTGTCCCTAGTATTCTATTCACAGTAACCTTAATAAGGTGTTAGGTTCATGTTAAATCATGATGATGAAGACTAATTATTTTAAATATGATTGGTACAATAATGAAAAACTAACGAAAGACGATCCACTGTATTTATTCTCCTAATATAAGAAGGTATTAAAAGCTGTAGTTTATTATTATAGTACGGCTATGAACTATTTGTTGATATAACTCTTACATATCAAATCCATCTCACTTATGCGAGGGTAGATCTATCAGATGCGTTTTCTGGAGAGGGTATCGATCGAAGAAGTGTCGATTTTTAGTATCCTGTTCGAATACCAGAGGGGATAAAAATGACCAATTCCTTCCTCCCGCTTTAAAGCCAACTACACCCTGTACGAGGGAAAAAACACGACTCAATATTGTAAGTCAACATCTGTTAAGCTTTCGGAAATGGAAAGGGGAATTCTTCAGAAATTTCAAGATTACAGGCTTAGAGGAGGAAACACCCTAACGACGGACTATGCCTTAGTTTGCACACGGAGATTCCTGAAGACTGTGAAAAAGCCAAAGATCTCAGCAGTGACCAAGGACATGGAGGGAAAAAAAACATGCTGAAAGTTTAAAAATAACACAGTAGCTTAATGTTCTCAGGTTTCTTAAAATCTTTAAAAACACCCCATAGCTATCTAAAAATATTCCGCGAAGTTAGTTTTCTTCATATTGCGCTTATACTTCAACCTACTTTAGAGATTTAAATAAAACATCATAATTAACACGCCCACGTAAGCATTTTCCTCACGCTCGAGGTGTACTCATACAAAAAGGACTTGAAATAATTTCTACATGAAAACTAACTATTATTTAAAACTGTTTTTATCTTAAAACAGAAACACGTAAAACGCAGTCCTGTTTCTATTTGATCTAACTTTAAAAAAAAATAGTTTAACACACATTGGCTTAGAACACTATTGTTAGGTACGATGCGCAAAATAAAAAGGAATCACGCTGAATAACTTGTTATCTAATGATCAGATCCATGTTAAGTTCGAGAAGATGACCACAAATGTGTAAATTACTTATGACGATAATGCAGACAGTATTCTTAAATTATGAAATCAGACACAAAAACGTTATTTCTCTGAATAAACATACCTGTTTTTGACTGTTACGGACTTCTGACCCTAAAATTATAGAAGTAGCCTCATTATTGGAAGTATTTCCCCTATATTTGGTAAAGAAAGTGGTTCAGAATTTGATCCCCTTACTGTTAATCTTATTTTTGAGTATTTCAGCATAGCTCGAGAAATTTTTAAGTGAATTTGGCAATTTTTTTCACACAATAAAATTTATTTTTCCCTAGATAATTACCTGAAAAAATTAATTTTCAATAATAATTCATTATTTTTTACTATTTTATTTAATAATGGTCAAAAAACTTTCGAATTTAAAGGTATAAATTTCTTTACATCATTTTAAAGAAGGCAGTTTCAAATGAAATACAAAACTTAAAAATACAAAATTTGAGCATAATTGGTCGAATATGTACTAAAAAAATTGAATTTTGAAAAAAGTTGTATTTTTCAAATTTGATTTCTCTTCTGTTTTTAAAATTACATTCTTTAAAATATTAAAAATTTTAAACACACAAAAACACTGAAATGTGTGCCACAATTTTTTCGATTAATATAGAATAAAATATTAAAAAACATTGGATGATTATTAAAACTTGTCTTTGGATAAACACAATTTGTAATCGTGTGCAAAAATTTTTCAATTTGCTTAAAATGTTTTGGAGATAAAGTGAAAATAATAAGGTATCCAAACTTTGAACCACTTTCCTGACTAGAGTACGGAGAATATAAATCGAGATTGTGAGTGCTACATATATTTTGGAAATCATAAATCAGAATCTGCTGAAAAAATGGTTCGTTTATTCAGTAAAAGTACAATTTTGTGTCTGATTTCGTAACCCTATAACCATCTGCACGAATTAATTAGCATATTTGAAGTTACCACCTTGAACCATTAAGATTGTGTCCAAGAACATGAAGATCTTATCATTTGATCAAAGATTAATTAGATTTGTCAGTTTATTTTTTGCGCATTGTGCAATCATTTTAAACTTCTGATTGGGAAATTAAACTAAGATGTATATACATTTATAAACTGGACAAAAAAGAATCTCCAATGCATGCATCGCTTAAAAGTCCTGCTTAGTACCAAATATTTCACAATACTTTCCATCAAATAAAATCTCCGTGAGTAGAACATCAATTGAAGACATCGCAAAGTTAGATAAGGCAAATGGAGATGGATACTTACTTTATGTCTGGAATGACTGAGTTAAAATGCACTCTTATCTCTGTCTTGTCAAAGGAGCTTAAAATCATCCATCAGACGAAAGTAAAGATAACCTAAGCGAGAAGAGTTTTATTAGTTTCAGAAAAGAATATTTCAAATGTAATGCATTCAGATGTATTTATCAAAGATTCGAAATAACACGAGCGCCATTCTTTTAAACCTATTTGGATTGAGAATTTCGATGTTTTCTGTAGTCTAACAGAAGATTTTAGTCATTTTAATAAGCTCCATACTTTAAAAACACAAATACCGTTGAAATAGTTCGGTGAAAAGCCTCATGGGATGATTAAGGAAGAAAATCATACAGACAAAATGCCTCTTATAGCACTTACTTCGAATAATTTCATAAGCCACATTACACTTTTGACAACGGTTAAAAGCTACTGGATTAGCAAAAGTTTTAGACGGTATCTCTTAAAGTACCATCGTCACACGTTACTGGAGGTGCGGAGGAAGCTCTACCTCTGAAGCTCATTAACCAATAAAAAGACATTTTACTTTCTGCCACCTAACATTATTTCTATTATACTCCACGTGTTACCATTGATGTGTTTCCAAATTCAAATCCACCTACAACTAATTAACAACTGTTGGATTAATTAAGCTTCGCTCAAAACACCTTTCCTATACGTTGCTGGATCTACGTAATAACAGAAAGCGCATTCTTTATCACTTCTAAAGCGACTTAACCATTCGAAACACATTTTATTTTTTGTCACTCTACAGTATAATTTCAATTGTGCTCCACTGGCTGCCGCCACTTTTTTGTTTAGTTTGAAGCTAACCTAATGTATAGCGCTCAAAATGAAAAACCTCCCAAAATAACTTTTGAACTAATGAACGGATTTTTTAAGTTCTGGGATTCAATGGTTCGAGGGGGATGAACTCAAATATGATAACTAATTAGTGTATATGATATTTTAAATTACGAAATCCAGACAAAAAGCGTACTTTCTTTTAAATAAACATACTTTTTTCGATGAATTTAGAATTCTGATACTTAAAATATAGGGGTAACCACAATCTGGGAAAGATGATTCAAATAGTTTAGTCAGGAAAGCGATTTAAAGTTTATACTTTTTTTTCGTATTTCGCCATATCTCGAGAACTGTTTAAAAAATTTTTTTTTACAAATTGCACGCCATTATAAAATTCATTTTTCTGAAGAAAAAATAACTTTCAGTAAATTTTAATCATGTTTTATTATTTTATTGCATATTCGTTGAAAGAATTTTGAATTGTAATTTATACAAGTTTTTACCTCATTTTAATTGATATACTTTTACTTAGTACAATACAAAGTTCAGGTAAAATGAATCGAATAGTTTCTGTGAAGGCAAAAGAGGTATTTTCTAAAAGAGGCATTTTTTCAAAATTCGATTTCGCAGGAACCATTAGAATGATTTTACTTAAGTTTCTCCTTTTGGCATTTAAAAATGCATTCTTTAAAATGATTCATAAATGATGAAAAAGTTTTTCAACTATTATTAAATAAATTAATAAAAAATTCTAAATATTTACGAAAATTGCTTATTTTGCTTAGAAATATTATTGAATAAATGAATTTTATAAAAGTGTGAAGAAATTTTTCAATTCGTTTAAAATGTTTTTGAGACATGGTGAACGACGCGAAAAGTAAAGCTAGCACTTAAAGGCCCAAATTTTGGATCGCTTTTCTGACCAAACACTATATTTCCCAGATTGTAAATATCTCCTATATTTTGAGGGTGAAATCACAATCCATGAAAAAAAAGAATATTTATTCAGATAAAGTACGTCTAATTTCGTCCGCACTATTTAATAAGCATAGTTGTGAACCTTGAAAGATTGAGCTGTAGAACGTGAAAATCCGATCATTAGATCAAAAATTTTTCTGGGTGGTCCTTTTTTTTATTTTATGCTCAGTACATATGTTAATAACTTAAAATGTAATACCATTGTTTATATCGAATCATAGATATTGTAAAGTTTACTGCACAGTGCTCAAATAGTGGATACATTGAACAACTTTTGAACTCAGGATCGGATTTTCGCGTACCTATATTCATTCTTAATTGTTCCAGGGTTCAACCTTAAATGTGTTAATTTATTAGAGAAGACGTTTTTTTTTTTCAAGTTACGAATTCAAACGCAAAAGCGTACTTTTTAAATAAGTATACCTTTCTCAGCTTAACTGTTTTGTCAGGAGAGTGTTCGAAAAGTGGGATTCAATAATTAGAATTTCTTTTTGTAAGTTTTACTTTTTGTGTATTTCGAATTAGCCAGAGAACTTCATCTGTGAATCAAAAAAAATTTTGCACAGAATTTGAAAAAAACTTTTTAAAAATAATTACTTATAAAAATAATTGTAAGACATGCAAATATTTATAAGTTTTAAATATCAAAATAATAAATGATCAGAAACAAAATATGAACAAAATTATTCGAATAGTTCTTAGGAAAAACAATTTAAAATAAGATTTTTTTTGTAAATTGTTTTCATGAAAAATTTTATGTTCCTCGAAATTCAATTACTTTACTATTAAATAAAATAAAAATAATTATGAAATCATTTTTTTACAGAATTATCTTTGGATAAGCAGTTTTTATATACGTGTCCAAAAATTATTTAAGTTATCGATAAATAGCGAAATACACACAAAAAGTGCAATTAACATTAAAAAATTTTCAATCTTTCGAGAGCATAAGCTATTGGAAAAATATTTAGCCAAAATATGATAAATTTAAAGAGGCATGAATACAAAACCATTCAAAAAAATTTTTTTTCAGAGATATTACTGTTTTGTATCTCATTTTGTAACTTAATATATCGTCTGCATTAATTCATTAGCATATTAAGGCTCGACTCTCAAAACATTAAAGTAAAATACGATCATTAGAGCAAAAGTTATTCTTAGTGTTCACTTTTTTTGCATTGCTCATCAGTATAGGGTTTCTTTAATGATGCCTTATAGTATATTGTTTTATTTTACTCTTTTAATAAAAATATTATGGTAACTTCTGTTTATATATCTGCATATTGCATTTTATAAAAGTTCTGTTCGTTCTGTGCTTACTTTTAAAAATATTATAGTACTTACTGATCTTGTTGCAATGATTTTGTATTACAACTGAGATTTTGGATTACTCACATTTCTGGTGGATTCCTCCTTACGGCAAAATAACTGATTTACTAACTCAGCGTATGGTAACCGCCCTTTGAAATAATGCCCATTTATCTCTCTCGACTAGCCTCGTTTGTCTTTATAGATTGGATATTCTTCTTGGATGACCCCTTTGGGGGTAGATTGAGCTGTGTATCCGTTTAATCTGAAAAAGAATTAATGTTTTAAATCAAGATATTTTATGAACTATAGCTTTAAAGTTTGGTTTCATTGGTTCATTCCTAAAACGCAAATACATTAGTGATTAGATAAAACAGTTTGACATTTTAAAAAAGAAAAAAACTTTTTTATAATGTAACAAAATCTATTGAGAAGTAATCAGGGATATAGGTGTGCGGTAATGAAGAAAAATTCTCCTATCTTAGATATAATTAAGCTTTATATTGATGTGAAGTAAATACATTTTGCTTATTGTCCTTATTATTTATCACTTCCTTGCGTTACAATACGTTTGGTACCCCGTGCTCTCTAATTTTAAAATGACGTTTATTTACTAAATGTATATATTTAATGATTACAAATTATATTTTTCTTCACTATAAAACTCATGCATTTATCTATTTCCTAAGCAAAATTTAAAGATGGTTTTGAAAACGAAAGAGACTATATATTGGAAAATAAACAGTTACGATGTCTTTAACTTTAAAAGCTAACACAACGTAACTGATTAGATGGAACAGGAGGAAATTGAAAATTGTATTTTCTGTACGAAACAATTTCATATTTTGTTTCATTTATTTAAATAAAAGCACTTCTAAAATATGATATAGTGTTTAGCATTTTAGACTGAAGTGAACTTAAGTAAATTGTTCAATCTCTAAAATAACTTTACATTAAATTATTGTTCTCTAAATGCTTAAGGGTGCAGACATTTACTAATATTTATTTACTCTCTAAAAACATTTCTTAAGTTGATTAAATGTATATTTTTGAAACCCCCTACAATTTAATTAATTGCAATACTTAAATATTTTTAAAAATAACTTCTAAAAATACCAAAGAAATTTATCAATCGCCAGAAATATTTCTTATGAATATGGGTTTTTGGTAAAGAAAAGGTTACGAATTTATTGGCCTTTCAAAACATTTCATTTCCCATTTATAGTTAAAACTTTCAGTTGTTTTTTTTTCAAATGACTTTTAAATAAAAATTGAACCTAATATAATAACAGTAATCATTTTTTGGAGTAATATATTATGTTCAAAACATGCACAATGTAAAAAACCGGGGTTTCTAAAATTTTTTGGTGTGTGGACCCCTTACTATTGACAAAACTTTTGCGTGATATCATAAGCATTGAGCTAATCCAACACGGGCTTAAGTGAAACTGTCAGTTTCCCATTTTGTACTTCAATATACTAATACAGTTTTAAATATTTAATTTGAACATTAAATTTTAAAACGTAGAAAAATTTAAAAATTTTAAATAAGTAGCAATTTTTTTTCTTCATTTCCTATGAGCTGCACAATCAGTCTTCCCGATGAGCAGAGCTAGTGCGTTCTCCAGAAGTGGTATCCACTCTTTCAGACCATCACAATAGGGGAGATACCGTTGGCCATGTTAATTTGGACGTCTAGTTTCCTCCACACTAGATGGCAGCACCGAGACTCTATTTGGATGTTAAAGTGCAGTAGGAGTTTAATTTTGCCGGAAATGCCAAGAGCCAATAAGGCACTCCACAGATCTTTTACATGCCGCATAATCATACGACATGGCTGCTGAGGATTTTCTGCATCTCGAAAATCCGGTGTCTGGGCCGGGGATCGAACCCACAGACTTGGGCTCAGAAGGCCGACGACAAACCAACTGCGCCACCTAGCCACTATAAGTAGCATACTTGAAAATATGATACAATAATCGATTGAAATTGCTATAAAATTTTAATTCTTATCATATGTACAACTTTTCCTCTAAGGGTGTAACTATTGCATTGAATCTATGTATTAAGAGAGTTTTGTTTTGTTCAAATAGTGATAATTTCAGTAAAAAGACTGGGCCAACACAATACTGACTCATTTCTTATAAACTCTACTTGTTTTAAGTAGTTGACACCATTTTTCTTATTTATTAATACTGAAACTCGTAATTACAGATAAATTAATACCACCTAAAAGGGTCAGTAAAGTTAACTTCGCGATACAAAATAAAGTAAGAATTATAAATTTAAGATCAATATCTATAATTCTACACTAATTCTCGCAATAAGATAAAATTAGTTTATAGATCAAACGTACATACAGCACAGAGTGAGTATTAAGATGAATCCAACCCCAATCGGCTTAGCTAATTTATAAATGAAGTAAATACATCTGAGCTTGGTTTAAGCTTTCCAAATAATTGGTGTTCAAATTTAACCACACATTCTGAAATGTGTTAGAGCACCCGAAATCAGTCATTCTTCTGCATATTTTTGAAGTTTTTCATAACCGAAAACAGATAAGTTTTACCCCATGGTTTTTACAGTATATGAAGTCATACAATATCTGCTGTATGTCTGAGAGAAAATTCTGTTTAATCTCAGAACTTCATAAATGTGAGTTATCATTTTTATCAATAGGTTTTCAGTTATTTACTTTGACAATTTTTTACAATTTTCGTTTGGAATAGTGATTTTTAACCCACTGATTTTCATACAAGTGAAAGATTGCTTCTGATGCCCTTTCTCTACCCTATAAAATTCTAAAACAAGTTCTACTACAAATAAAGAATGCATCTAAAAATACAAATTCCAATATGTGTGACCGCCAGATAGTTTTAATTACATAATTATATAATCCTACGAGAATCATATCGTGTATAAAATTCTACAACATTACTATTGTTTAATTAAATGGAATGAAATCGAATAGTTTAAAAGTTATAAAGATTTTATATACAAAAAGTAAAAATTTGTACTTGTACCTGTTTACTCATCTGTTATATTTATCTAAACAAGTGAAGCATTGTTTCAAACGTATTTTGGTCATTTAAAGTAACATAATAAAAGTCTTTTGGTCAAAATTATCTTGGGCATTATTCTTTCAAGAAAAAACACCCTCTTGTTCGATACTGGAGTAAATACTGGATGCAAATACAGGAGTGAAATACTTCATAGCTTCAAATACAATCATAAAATTGTTGTTAAAAAAACGAAATTTACAACTATTTTATAATGAATTTTATTTTTGAAAAAAAATGAAGGTGAACAACATATTGTGGAATTTAGTCGCTGTGTTCTGTGTGTGATAAAATCTAAATTAACACTAGGTTTACGGGACGCGTCATTTTGACGAATTTCGAGTTTTGTAAGGAAAATTATAAAACCCTTTTGAATTTTTATTTTATCTCTTGTAATGACTTTTAACCATTGATCGAAGTAAATATATATTGTAGGCTATTTTCTTCAAAAGCTTTGAAATATTGAAATTCTCTATGTGGTATACCTATCTCTACGGATATGCGTCAATTTGACGCGATCGCAATTTAGACAAAATTTTGAGTAAACAAGCAATTATCACATCAATAATAAAATGTACAGACAATACTTCGATTTGTTATCCTATATCGTTATCTCAAATAAAACAGGCGATAAACAACTGTTGCCAATTATCAATAATTGAAAGAACAAACGCAGAATGATTGATGTCAGAGTGTCAGATTCTTAAGGTTTCAGTTGCTTAGTTCGAGTATTTAAGCATAAAATACTAGAATATTTCATAAATATAACATAATTATAATTTCATAAATATAAAAACATCAGCTCCAGACACACCAAAATAATTAAAAGAATGGTAAATAACAACTAAGTAAGTTTTTAAAATATAAAGTGGTGAATTATATATGCCTACGAATAATTTAGAAATAGTTGTGGATAAAAATCTACTAAATTGAATTTATTAAATTAAGAATCACAAATATATGTATTCTTTCATACGTCAAATTGACGCGTGTGCGTAGAGATAGGTATATAAGAAATGTCCGTAAACCTAGTGTTAAGTATGATTCAAAATATACAGTCATGCGTATTGTACGATTATAGGATGTGACCAATATATTATTGGATGATGATTTTATGATCAGATATAATTTATCGAAAACATGTCATATTTTGATCAAGTTTGAAGATTAATACACGTAATAATTTTTTTATGAAATATTATTTCAATGCAACGAGCAGCACTTTTTTAAGTAAAACAAAACTAAAAAAAATACTTCTCATTACTTGCATTAAAAATTTTATTTTTATTTTTACAGCATTAATTATTCTAAAAAAACTAACAATTAGATTTCCCAATACAAAAAGAAAGTTCCTCATCAAAGTAGCATTTAATTTCTTTTTTTTATATTAAGTCGAAACTTTGTATTTGGTGCCCTTAAAAAAAGATATTTTTAGAATTTTAGCAACTATTCTACACCACTTAACTCTAACAAATTTAGACAATCATAGCTTAAATGCAAAGATAGTTTAGAATTTGAACAATTTACTTGAAATCACCCTAGCATTATCTGCGCTCATTCTTACTGACAGACATTATTATCAGACAAAAGTACTACGTCATTAAACGTTTAGCGTTACACGGGGCACAATTCAGAAATCCCATTATTTAAACAATTGAACCATTAACTTCATTTGATAGAAATAGTTTTGAGATGAAAGTGAAAATTACAGCGCCCCTTTCCAAATTCTGAGTCTTTTCAGTTCGCTAGAATGACTGTCCGTCTATTAATACTATCCCAAAGTTAAATTGTGTTGCTTGAATTTGTAATTTATATGATGCTCCTAATCTGATTCTTTGAAAAATGAAAAATAAGCGTTTATTTAGTTTGGCTTTGTGACTTTTTGTTTTCAAAAACAACTTTAACAGTTGCATCCAATTCGATACTTTATTCCAAGGATACTTTTACATACTAAAAAGATACTTTATTCCACGGATTAATAGTCTTAAAACTTTTCAATATTAAGAGTATTTAAATAATCTGCGTGTTTGATGTATTTCGAGTGTGATATCATGCGAAAAACGTGTCATGCAAGTGGATAGATGAAATAAAATATCAAAACATTGCTAAAAGCACCATGAAATTATTAAATTAGTATTATTATTACGCAGTGAAATTGAAACTGCGTGAACAATGAAGGATAATCAGACAGTTTTTTTTTATTATT